GTTATACAAGCTTCCCCGCCCCCCCCCCCCATCAATAGATTTTAATATTCTTCACAATAATGGGTATTATCCCAGCTTAGAGGCCAGGACATTGGGGCAAAGAGAGCACAAAGCTAGTCACTGGTTGAGTTGAGAAGGAACTCAGGCCTCCTCACTCCTAATCTAATGCCCTTTCTACTAGACCTCACTGTTTTTATGAGAAAGAGGAAATTGAGCACAGCACAGAGAGGAGGGAGATGGTTTCTCGGCTCTCTGTGAGCTGAGGAGTGAAAACATTATCAAGCCCTATTGGACAGGGGTAGGTGTTGAAATGGGAGCATGGGTGCCAGGGAGTTAATGCTGGCAGAAGAGTGGTCTATGTGGCAGCAGGCGGTGCAAGGCAGAGAAGGGTGGGTGAGATGAAGCATTTGTTTTGGCTCTCTCCTGATGGGGAAGGCAGCAGAGGCACACCTGATCTTCCCTATCATTACAGAGCCTAGAAGTAGGAAGCCAAGAGATGGCAGAAGAGCCTGGAAGTAGGAAGCCAAGAGACAGCAATTCTCATATCCTACATGGCTTGCCTGATGTGCTTGGGGCCAAGAGCAAGCTGCATACCATCCAACTGCCAGAGCAGTAGATGTGAAAATAGGGGCTTCCAGAAAGAAGAAGGGGGAAAAAAAAGTGGGGGGGAGGGGTGAGAGAAGCTCCAAATAGCAATGTGTAAGTGTTGGTAGCCCAAAACCACAATGGTCCCAGGTTCTAGTCCCACAGGTGCTTACACTAGAGCAGCGGTTCTCAAACTTTAGGGGGGAGGGATAGCTCAGTGGTTTGAGCATTGGCCTGCTAAACCAGTGGTTCTCAAACTTTGTACTGCTGACCCCTGTCACATAGCAAGCCTCTGAGTGTGACCTCCGCCCCCATAAATTAAAAACACTTTTTAATATATTTAACACTATTATAAATGCTGGAGGCAAAGCGGGGTTTAGGGTAGAGGCTGATAGCTCACAATCGCCCATTTAATAACCTCATGACCCCCTGAGGGGTCCCAACCCCCAGTTTGAGAACCCCTGTGCTAAACCCAGTGTTGTGAGTTCAAACCTTGAGGGGTCCATTTAGGGATCTGGGGCAAAGATCTGTCTGGGGATTGGTCCTGCTTTGAGCAGGGGGTTGGACTAGATGACCTCCAAAGATCCCTTCCAACCCTGAGAGAAAAAAGTGGAAAAGGAAGAAAACTTACAGAATCAGGCCTCTACCTAAATTCAGAAATAGATTACAACAAAAAAGAGATATGGAATTTTAGAATTGTTTCAGTAACTACTGAATAAGAAACCTTTCACACTACATTAACTTCTATTAAACATACAATCAGCCAAAAGTATAAAAAAACCCATATAACAGAAAAACTTACAAAAACCTATTTTTAAACCTGTTTTATAAGGACTAACCACTCAGTCTGTGTTCTCTCCCTCCCAACTTCCCAAAAGGAAAGAAGGAACGGTCATCAATAACAGACAGCAGCTGCATTAAAGCAACACTGTCTGCTCGCTTCGCGCTCAGAAGAGAACACTTTCACTCCTCCTCGTGGTTAGCAAGGTCAGACACTTTCGGCTACACTTCTCTAGTTACAAACTATAGAAATGATCCCTGAAAGTATAGTCTTAACAAAATCCTCCTCGGCTACACACCCAGGCTAATGTGCACAAGCTTTCTTGCCACGGTGAATGTTTTCATACAACAGGTTTCGCCCTCAACGAACTAAAGGACAAAAATCGAAAACCAGGTGCCTATTTCATTAAAGCACAATTCAGCCAGCTTTAGAACACCGTACATTACAAGATTTTTATGTCGCTATTTACAGAAACACACCTCCTGATTAGCATGTGGAGCTCCCAGCAACCAATCAAACCCTCTTGCTCTTACTTCCTGAAGATGCGATACCTCTCACAGGCTCCTCTAAACCACATGACAGCTTGTCAGACACAGACAATAGGGACAGGTCAGCCCTTTCTAGCATGCTCTGCAGCTGTTTCTCTCTGAAGTGCTCTCAAATTCATCTGCAGTTTTTTCAGGGTTCCATGTTACCGGTGGTACTTGCACTAAATCAGTGGCTCTCAACCTTTACAGACGACTGCCTATGCAGCCTACAATGGTAAATAGGGTCAGAACCAGAAGATATTTTCTTTCTAAGCGGGGATTGTGCAGGGAGGAACAACAGACCTAATGCAGCTGTGTTGCCACTGTCTACTAGCACTGAAATGGTTCAGAATGCCTAGGTTCAAGTGGCACCAGTTCTAAAAGTAAGGGTGATTTAGTGCAGTGGTTCTCACATGGGGTATGCAATGGTCTTCCAGGGGGTACATCAACTCATCTAGATATTTGCCTAGTTTTACAATAGGCTACATAGAAAGCACTAGCAAATTTGTAACAAATTAAAATTCATACATTGACTAGTTTATACTGTTCTCTAGTCTATATACACTGAAATGTAAGTGCAATACTTAGAGAATTAAATTTTATTAGAGAATATTAAAAAAAAAAAACGATACAGAAAATTTGAGGCGTCAGTTATTGGTCATTGGGGGTAACATACAGAGTATAGGGGTATGTAGGTGTTTGTCTCTGTCTGAGGGGTTGGAGCAAATTCGGTTGTATCTTAGGGCTTGGCTGTAGACAATGGATCGTGTGATGTGTCTTGGATGGAAGCTGGAGGCATGTAGGTACGTATAGCGGTCAGTAGGTTTCCAGTATAGGATGGTGTTTATGTGACCATCACTTATTTGCACTGTAGTGTCCAGGAAGTGGATCTTTTGTGTGGATTGGTCCAGGCTGAGGTTGATGGTGGGGTGGAAATTGTTGAAGT